TTTAGGGGGCCGGGAAATTTTTTTTGCCCCCCCCCAAAGAATTTCCCTCTTCCCTTAAAAATCCAAAACCCCCCCCCCCCCCCCCCCCCCGGCGCGCATCCATCCCACACACAATGATGCATACCTACCTGTTATTGCTGCAGGAGGCCGGGAGGCTATGTCATGCCCGAGGTGACCTCCAGGCGGCCGTGGAGCGTTTGATGAACTCCCGGGGGGCTGTCATCTGGCCTCAGCTGCTTCCCAACGAGATGGTGATGCTTGGGGGTGCCTGGTCGCATCTTCACCGCGGAGCCCCTTCGGCGGCCGGAGCTACCGACGACGCAGAGGCGTTGTCATCTCCGGGCGGGGGCGGGGGCGGGGGCGGGCGCGGGGGTGGGGCCGCCGTTGCCTCTTCGACGTCGACCGTTTTTTCGATGGTAGAAGACAGGCTGTTGTGTCGGTAAGCAATGCCGCCGGCCGTGAATGCATGCTTCGCTACAAGTATGTACAGTATTATGATGGTAGATCAGATATAATATGGGTGGGCTTTTTTGTTTTTTGTTCTTGAATGCTCTTCAATTTTGAGCTTTGGGGACGCAATACAATGTTGTGCTATATTGTGCACTTTTGTATGTGCACCTCTGCCGGACCAAGATGAAAAAAAAGACAGTTGCTACGTCGTAAGTATTCCGCGGGGCGCGATTTTTTTTCACGCTTTTTGTGTGTGCACGTATGTCTACCGTATATGACACAAGATAACACACCCCCTGGACCAATTTTCAAAGCTCGATTACGCCACGACGAAGAGGGTGCATAACCGAAACGACACATTTTCGGAAAGGTCTTGACGGGACAGCTTCAACGCCACCGTTTTCGGCGCTGTGACTCTCTCTCTGCTGTTGAGAAATCGAGATTTGAAAATCGGTCCAGGGGGTGTGTTGTCTTGTGTCATTTACGGTATCTCTGATGTTTCACGCACTCCTAAGAGACTGGGGTTTTTCGTTCGCGGCGCAGGTTTGCCTGTGGCTCGCACCTCCCGATGTAACGCGTCGATAACATGCATTCGGAACAGAGGGAGTAGATAAGTGCTTGTGTCACCATAGAAATCTTTCTATAAAATGTAATAACATAGATATGCTCAATACGAACGAATCCCTATGCAACACGTCGATATAACTTGGCAAGGATGAGTGGCAGTTTCACCGTGTAATTTTTTTTCAAGAACTTCATTCAGATGCTTGATCAAACGCATACATCCCCGAGCCCTAGTAGGACTAATCGGTTAACCTATTGAACATTCACGCGCTGCAATAACAAAAACATGAATAGCACACGTAATGTATTTGCTCCGTCGCGTTCATCCGGCGTGTTGTGCTCCGCTTGTTCGTTCATGCCCTGTAGGGGGATTCATCTTTACGGGGAGGAGTGGGACGAGATCAGGACCAACTTTCTGCCGCACAAACCGGCCGAGACCCTCATGCGCAGGTGAAAACACAGCACAGGCGCCCCCAAGTGCCCGTCTTCTTCTTGCGAACGTACGCCGTAAATGTCGTTGCGGAGAAACACGCTATAATAAAACGCTAAATAACACGGGGGGGGAATCTCTTCGACTCTTACGGTGCACGGGGTAATTTCCGCTCGATACAGAACGCGCCACCCCCTACGAACCGCTTGATCTGGGCGGAGGCAAGTTTCTCGTGTGTTCTCTACAGGATACCTCAACAGCGACTATAAAGGTTTTAGTCCAGGCGTCTTTTCTGAGTACCTGTTCTTTCGCCCAAGTTCTTAAAGTTTGCGTTTTCTTAAGGCTCAAGTTCGTAACTCCTAAGTTCTTGATGATGGCGCTTTGTGTACGACAATACAAGACATATCAGCTTCGGATCATATCGGGGCATGGGACATTCTTTGCCCAGTACTGCAGTCGCGAGACTTGCGCGTCGGGTAGAAAACTTTCTTTTTTCCAACTTTCTGACAGGTGTATTCTACACGGGATAATTCACGCACAACACAAGACATCGTCGAGTCCGGATGATATCGGGGCATGGGATATTCCTCGCCGAGTAATGTAGTCGCGAGACTTGCGTTGAGTAGAGTACTATCCAAGTATGTGAGGTAGCGTGTATATTCAGCTTCCATGATGCATGCACAGTATAACCTCTACTTTGCTGCGCTTGCCTCCCCGTTAGGGTGCCGGCCGTGCTATTTACCCCAGGCACGCTACCTCACATACCGTGTAGAGGGGAATGGAGAGCCCCAAACTATCTGTCTCTGATTTTGACTGTTTTTCGGACCCTTCGGGTCCATTTTTTTTTAGTACAGGTATGCCCTTGTTTTAGGGTGAGTTAGCCTGTGACCACGGGAATCGACCGCGTCAAGTGTCAGATAAGCGCCGACAGATGGAGGTACTGGGTAGAGAGATCGGAACGTTTTTTAATGTGAAGACAACGACGACAGCAACAACAACTTTAACAACACCCGATGTTGTTTGCCGTTCACTGTAGGGAACGGCCTCGTGCCGTTGCTGCGAGAACCAGTTGGCTACACGGTCTGCACGGTTGACTAGCGTTTGCACGTTTCCAGAACAGAGAGAGAGAGAGGTGCCCCCCTCTTTTTTTTTCTTTTTTGTTTGCCAACCGAAACGAGCGTTTCATAAACACGGTTGAGTAGCGTTTGCAGGTTTCCAGGAACACAGAGAGAGAGGCGCCCCCCCCCCCCCCCTTTTTCTTTCGTCAATCGAAACGAACGTTATCGATCCGTTCTCCCGCTTTCACAAGGCTCCGATTTCAACCGCTTTCACCAAAGCTCAGCATTTCAACGACTACACCGTACATATGCATTCGCCTCTGCAATGTGGGGTGGAGGGGGGGGGTGGTGGTGTTCTATTTCGTCCATGCTCTCGAATTCGAAGCGTAACTAAACAACCCCCTTCTGCGTGAGCAAGAGGGGGAAAGAGTTAAGGTATACGACCCAGCCGGCCTGTTTTTTCCCATCCTCTGCCTGTGCTGGTTCCCCCGCTCAACACAGATACGCTGTTCTTTCTGGGTGGGCGACAGCAGTGCACGGCCCACCACCAAAGGCGGAACGCGTTTTTCCTCAGGTTTGCTCACGATTTTCGCGCGCGCACCCCGGGGGATTTCGAACAACCCTCACGCTCCAGGCAGTCACTGCGATCGGGCTTTGCCTTTCCTGGCTGCGCTGTACCTTGCGTTCTTCAAGTAGATAACGTACACACACGTTACCTTGACCAATTCCGTAACCGTTTTTTTTCAGCGTCTTGGGACTCGCTTCACTCAGCGCGGCGGTACGGTTAGGCAACCCTTGTATGAATACGGGATATCAAACGTTATCCGGAAGTTCGGACGTGTGTGTACCATAAGACGTGAAAAGAAGCGGACAGAAAGGAGGCTGCGTGTTTTGTTGTTGAGTTTGCTTTCCGTGCGCAGGGATCTTTCGTTTTCGTTTGCCACCTGTACTTTGGTTTTCAAGTATTTTGTGTGTGTGTGTGTGCATCATGGCTTGAAAAGAAGCGGAAACGGCGGTGATTGTGTGTTTTTTACCGGAGGCTTTTCAGCGTTGCCTGGATTTTTCGTTTTTCATTCCGCAGGGGGGCACAGCCGTGCCGTGGACACAAGAGGAGGACTTGGACCTGAGGAATGCGGTGCAGGTAAGCCCTTGCCCCTCCTCCCCCCCGTTTGCAAAACGACCGTTACGCGACATCCACGGTTCCGCTTTTTGTTGCTGGCCTCTGCTCTGCAACATGATTTGCGATCCTCCTTACTCCCATCGGCCGCTATATACGGAGGGCACTGTTTAGCGTCTTGTCTACCATGACGTACGTTGTCGCGAACGGGGGAGTGAGTATCGAACAACACGGACACGAAGCCTCAGTTTTTTTTCAAGACTACTGAATTCGAGACGAAGACTACGCGACACAAAACACAGGATCGTGGAGTTAGATTCGACCCAGCTTATCATTTTTGTGTGTTTGTGTGTGTGGTGGATGCACACTGGCTGTCCGCTACTTGAACCCCTCGGTTGCAACAAAAACAACGGACGGAGTCTTCTTCATCGTTGCTTCTGAAGCGGCTCTGTATGCTCCGTAGCTTGTGTTTTATTGTTTAAAAGGGTTTTTCTCCAGTAAGACTGTAGACGGATTTGACATTTTTTTTTGCGTTTATTTAGGTTCGTTGAAAAAAAAAGTTCGCTGGGCTGTTCGAGTCACAACACGTCAGTTTGCTGTGTGAGCTGTCGAGCTCGGGAAGCGTTACGCCGCAGGTGGCAGCCAGCTGTGGGTTGGTCCTGCCTGCCTCCTTTTATTTTTTTGGTCTTGCCATCACACACGTTGATGACACACTGCCATGCTCTCATGAGCCCACCCACTCCACAGGGGTTCGTTGTACATGTATAAACGAATTTCCCCACCGTCCTGCCCGCCGTTTTGAAACCGTCGCCCCTCCCTCTGCAGAATCACGGCAAGAAGTGGGCCCACATCGCTCGAGAAGTGATGCCGAAGCGGGGACGGGAGTCCTTGCGCAACCGCTGGAGCGTCCTCGAGGTACAGTAGGAAGCATGTTTTTTTTTTTTCGTCCTGTTTAGTTATGGCGACAGTCCCATTTTTCGTGGTGAAACGTGTACTACACTTCTTCAGTGCATGTAGAGTGCTACACTTTTCAAGTGTATTTTTTCGTAGAACTGCAACCACCCAGGGTCACACAGGAGGGGGTAAACACCAGGGCTTTGACAGCGTCAAATTTTACGTGTACGCGCTTGGTCGATACCTTGCAGAAGATTTCGGGACTTCGACATACACGAAGAAATACAGTGGGGGG